AAAACTGCAGAAGAATGTGCTAATGCTAAATAAAGTTTGAAAAGAAAATGCAAGAAAAATAATATATTTAATAATTCATTTTTAATTTTATATAAGAAACTATACTAATGTTATAATACAATTATAGAATGGATAAGTTGGTTGATTAAATCATAATTACAATAAAACATTTTTTTTGTAATGTGAAAAATAAACAAAGTAAATTTTTGTTTTGTGAAAAAAATGTTGTAATGTTTAGTGTTTTTATCTTTTAAAATTTATGTTAAGTTTATCTTGATGAATAAATTGGACAGGGGCTGAATTTTTACTTGACCCCACCAGGAAGCTTAAAAGATAAAGCTAGGTTTCATAGCTTAAAGCCTCAACCTTGGAGTCACACTTGTTTTTGTTTTTCACTGAATTCTCACCTAGTGGGTAAAGTATAAGATTCAGTTACAGGTTATGTGTCAGGTGTTGTGCATTTTGTATTTCATATTTAGTTTTAGAAAGTTTGAACATTATTATTATTTTTTAAAACAGGGATTCTCAGGCTATACAGCACACAAAATTTAGATTCATCATGATCTGTTTGCAAGGTTCTGTTACATCATGGACTCTTTCTTTTTTTCTACTATATCTGAGTATTTCTGCAAATTCTGGGACTTACTTGCTTCAGAGTGTATTTACTGAGTATCAGTCATCATTTCCCATGATAGAGAAAGCTGCATCTCAGAAGAAGAATGAAGATCAGTATATGCAGGAAACAGCAAAGCCAGACACGAGCCAGACTTCCAATCTTGGTGGAGGAGCATTTTTCACCAATATTCTTTCTCATGTTTTTAGTCTATTAAACATTAAAGAGGTATGATTAAGGAACATTAATGATATGTACTTGAGCTGTGATTGCTGAACCATTTACATGTGTTCTGTTGTATCCTACTTAAGTTCTTAATTGTAACTTTATATTCTCCTATAATTTAGTCAGATTTCTTTAGCCTTAAATAATAATTTGTTTTAAATACAAATATGTTAGATTCTCTTTACCTTGAGTAATAACCAAGTATTTTATCATAAAACAGTTATACCATTTTTGCCTTGAACCATAATTTGTTTATTCTTTTTGTAATACATTAGTTCTTTCTTGTCTGGATTTATATATCTACATTATACTGCATCATAGGTCATTCCTACTCTGAACATGTACTTTGTACTATAGTTAGATTCTTCATGCTTTGATTCATTTCTTTGTAATTTACTGTAACACAGGTTCTTCTTACTTTGAATTGTAGTTTATACTCTACTGTAGCAAAAATAACTTTCATTTTAAATTCTAACTGTATCTTAAATTAACATAACTATATACTTCTTATTCTGAACTCTAACAAAGATCTTTAACACAGGTAACTTTTCCTTATATTGAATTATTATCTTGTATTTTACTTCATGATATTAAATATGAAGGTGTTTTAATTCATTCCATTATTGGAATGCATTAAATTACATATGTTGGCTTACTGGGACAGATTCCCAAATGTTGTACACTGAGGAAAGGAATAATAGTTAATTTATAAAGTGTCTTAATGTTATTACTTCCTTTTTGTTTTTAGAAAGACTGTTATTGTATTTGTCCTAATACAAAATTTTGATTTTTTTTAAAGGGATTCTATGACAGTATTATCATTTTACATAAGTTTGTTTGAATGTTTAACAAAAGGAGAAAAAATAGTATTCTGCAGTGCCCATAGATACATGGCTAGTCATGTTGATATGGTGGTCTAATTCTTTTTCTTTAAGAAAAAGACAAACAAGATGCATATTGTATAAGATTTATTGTTATGGCTTTTTAGTGCATGTTCTTCATACAATAGGTCTGTCACACCTCAATGCTAGGGAGTAAGAAGTAACTTGTGTGTTTTGACATATATATAGGTTGTACTAATATGTAAGTATAATTTTAAGTGGGTTATGGTAATCTATTGTCATACAACTTACAACAGTAGAACTATCTTCATACAGATTTTATGTGTTGTGTGATATTGTTTACCTATATTTTTTGCTATCTTGTCTGTTTACTTTGTAAATTATAATGATAATTTTTTCAATATCTTTATTACTATTTTACTCAGAATAAAGTATCTGGTCTGTCTGTTTTTTACTCATATTTTTAAAAACTTACAAATTTGTTATAGACTAATTTAGTAAGTCTGTTATAAAGTTTGAAATACTTAAAATTTAAATGTCAAAAATGATACTTTTTAAAAGATATTATCAATAAAATATTATGCTTTTAATATCATATATTATACAAAAATAATCATCTTATATTTAATATTTCAAATTTATCAGAAATAAAATATTTCTAACTTGTTGAATATTAAAAAAATACTAACAATGAAGTGTGAAGAAAAATAACTGAGTTAGCATATAAAACATAAAAAAGTTGTATTAGAATGTAAAAGAAAATAATTATAAAAACAATTATATAGGTAATTCGATGACGAGGAACCCACTTTGAGACTAATAATGGCTGGAGACGGCTAAAATGGGTAATGAAGAAAAACTTTAATATAAGTTTAACATGACATGATGATGACAAAACCTTGTCGAAACGTTG